AATACCATATGATCTCACGTATAACAGGAACCTAATGAACAAAACAAACACACGAGCAAAATAGAACCAGAGGGATGGAAACAAGGAACAAACTTACAGGGACCAGAGGGAAGGGAGGAGGGTGATAAGAGAGGAAAGCAGGGGGAGGGCCTAGTTAAAGAACAAGTATGAATGATCCGTGGACATGGGCAACAGGGTGGGGATTGGCTGTGGGAGAGGGCAGAGGCCCAGGGGAGAGCAATGAGGGAAAATCGGGACAACTGTAATAGAACAATAATTAAAAAAAAGAATTATGTTGAATTACATACCTTTGATAAGAAAATAACTGGAATAAGGCAGATTTATCTATTCCCTGTGCATTTTTTGTATAAACTGCTGATGTAGCAAAGATATATGCTACTATTTAGATAAGAGCTAATATTTTGTAAAGAGTTTTTGCATCTGTCATCCCAAATAAGATTAGAGAATAATTTTATTCTCCTTCCTTATTTCTTTTTGAGTACTTTTTAAATACATTTGCAGTTTCATTTATGCAAGATTAATAATATGCATTAGGAACATTTATGTTTCCATGGTAAATAATAGTGTAAGTAAAATTGGAACTATGTACTCTTTAAAAGTAAAATACAACTCAGTTATAAAATAATTATGCCCTTAACTTTTTTAGGGTGTGCAGATTTTCATTACTTTTCTGATCTCTTCCTTTCATTGTCAAGTTTTTCTCTTTGTCTTAAATAAATCCTGACAACTTTTGTTTTGCTAGAATATGATTCATTTTCTTGAGGTTTTCAAATTTGTTGCAATAGCTGTACCTGTAGCTTTTATAATCTTTTTTTCTGATCTTTGCTGTGTCTTTGGTTATGTATCCTTTCTCATTTCTTATATAACATTTCTTATAGGAAGTTCATCAATTTTGTAATTATGTTCAAAAGACCTGCTATAAAAACATATTTATCTTTATTACTTTATCCACTTAATGAGTTTTAGTTTTATATTTATAATTTTTACTATATTCTTTTATTTTACTTTGAACTGTGTTCTTTCATAACATAGGCATTTATAGTTATAAATGTTCATCTAGCTATAGCTTTTTGCTGTGTTCCAAAGTTCTTAGTATGATATTTTCTAAAGTTCCTGGCTATGATTTTCCAGAGAATATTTATTTCTTTAGACCAATTTGGTAATTAATTTTCAGGTGATTAAGATTTATTAATCACATTTCATATTTTTATTTCTAATTTAACTTGCTCAGTATCAAAAGAAATGCCCTATAAAACCTCTACATGAATACTTTTATAAAAGTATTATTTGAGGTCAAATAATTTTTAATGTGTTATAGACATTAAAAAGAGTATTTTTAATTAATATACATGGACTCTTTATGTATCTATTAATTAAATGTTGCTGTCTTCAATTTTTCTATGTTCTTGTTTATTTTTGTGTGTATAAGTTACACTGTTTTCAAAGACTTTTCTTCTATTACAAGCTTTAATTACCCCAGCAAAAATACTATATTATCTAGTTAAAATTCTTCAGGTGACTCTTCAAAGTATCTTATTTTTTTCCTTCTTTCAAATACTCTTAGTTCTTAGCTTAGGAATAAAAAGAGAGAGAGAGAGAGAGAGAGAGAGAGAGAGAGAGAGAGAGAGAGGGAGGAATATACTGCAGAATAGCATTGTATCAGTGGTCTCTGGGAGTCTGTCCTATTCTGGTTTCTTCACTCGGGAACAGCTAGGTTTTTTCCCTTTGGTTTACATATGAAATCTTCTACAAGCCGCCTTACTGTCCTCTTCCGACCAATGATAAAATGCAGAGTATTTGTATGCAGTTACTTACGTATCCAGTCATGTTGTGTATTCTTTATCAAAAACTACTTCCTTTCAGAGGACTATGCCATTTTCCTTCAATTATATATTAAAACAACTTAGTAGTGGTTTGTTTTATTTGCTAATCATTTTTTTCTTGTGGGAATAAAAATTCAACTATGCTTAATGAAGATCAAATGTTTAAAATGATATATTATTCATAATAATGACAAAACTGATAATCTTGGATATATTCATATCACACCAAAAATTAGAAAACTCTTGACAATATTAAAGAAGCACATATAAAACTAGAAGTCTGTCCCTCTGCATACTGTAAATGATCTGCTGAAATCCAGCATTACCACTTGATGACCTCAGACTTTTTGTGCAGACTTGTTAGAACTTTTTGGTACCAACTTTTATTGACCTACAAGGTCACTATAATTTGGGTAGCAGTAAGTAATGTTAGAGTCTGATACAGCTTCTTTTAATCTAAGGTAAAGAATTTAAGCTGATCATAATGAAGTATGACAACCGTATTTGACTAATCTGCAAAGAAGAATATGTTATTGCGATAGTAATGAGACAAGCCACCCAATTAATTAATAGCAAATGAGACAGATTGCTTTGGAAGTTTTCCAATAGATAAAGTACTTCTGGTGCTTTGCTTCAAAGGCAAGGCAGACCAAACTTTCTTAATCCCCGTGGGTAGAGAAGAATTTGATTTTCGATTCCTAAATTTTGTAGGCCAAAATCTAATCCACAATAGAGACAGAAGTGCAGGACTGAGAAATTCAGATGTTTACATTAAAATTATGAGTCTAGTAACCCGTGATGGCCATTATGAAATCTGAGGGAGCTCTTTTGATGTTTTCTCCACCTAAAAGTGACATTGGACATGTTATGATCTCGAAATCTATAAAATGTTTTTATTTATAGCTTGTGTGATTCCTACAACAATCTCCATTTCACAGTGAGGAAATTGAAGTCCTGAAATGTCAAACAATGTACTCCTGCTGCAGCTGGTACGCTCCCACAGGTCTAATTGCAAGGCAGCCTGTCCCTCCCCATTGCTGCCCGCATGGCAATGGTGCACCCCCCTGTTCCCACATGTTGACTGGAATAGCCACAGTAGAGAACAAAGCCATAGCAAAAAAAAAAAATTTAACCTTTGCCTAAGCTCATTTAGTTTTTCAGTGCCTAACCTTGTCTTAGGAGAAAACAGAACCAAGGGATTTCAAGTTAAAAGATCTCTTAAAGTACTAAATAATCAAATAGATGCTTCCTCCCCATTAGATTGGGGAATGCTGGTGAAGAGAATGGGAATTATCTCTTTATTGTAACCCTGTGCTGAACTTATTCACAATTGTGGAGGGAACCTGACCCTCCTTGTGTTATCTGAAAACACCACAAAGTCCTATTTGGTTTGAAGAATCAAGTAATCTGATGCCAAATTAAATTTCCTGTGGTACTTACTTCTTGTTTCCCACTGAAGCACCTTTCAATTCTAGCTCCTTAATCATGTTCTCAAATACCATTTGAATATAGAAAACATAACAAAACCCACTACAACAAAACGGCTCCCACAGCCTATTAATAGCGTGTGGTCTATTTACCTCTGTTCTATTGTGTCAAAATTCCTGAATGTCACTGAGAAGGAAAGATGGATTGCTTTTGTTTTCTAATCTCTGGAAGAGGAGTTGAGATGTCAGTAGAAAAGTGCCTCTCTCCATCACCAGAGGAAGCTAATCAAGGAAAAATGTCTGTGGGTAGTAGATACATTAATCTCCCCCTGGATCGTGGGGGCCGTTATGAGGTGTAACTAATCGAATCGTTGGGACCATCTTGGTCTGTAATAACATGCTCCACAGTGACATCAGTGGTTGTAGGAGATGGATGTTGCATGTAAAGGAAAAAGCACTGTTCTGCTGGAATATCTATCTGCAAGCCTGTGGACAACACAGTGACATTCTACAGTGAATGTGGCTACTGTATTTCCATAACGACACCGTTGCCATATCCTGTCATCAGCATGTTTCTGAAACTGTTTCAAGCTGTCATCATGTGGCAATTTCAGATCCACAGGCTCTTATAACAACTTAGTTCTGAAAAATGACCTCTGTCAAGGTGTCTACTCGAGTCCACTTTAGTGCTGAGTCCAGATGCTCAGAAATTTTCTTTTTAAAAGACTCCTACAGTACTTTCAGGGGCAGGGTTAATTCATATCCTTGGTTTCCAATTCAGAAACTTCTGGTTTCCAGACCAAGTTCTTCCTACATTTTCTGTGCAGAAAAAGTGTGCTGTGATCTCTTGCTACATGTTAAATGCAGACATTCTGATTTGCCAGTCACTTATCCACCAGCAGATAATTGGCAGAATGGAAAGAGCCACCAAATGGACTAGTCGGGCCCCGGCATGGCCCTGGCGTAGGCACGGAGTCTGTGACTGCCTGCAACAGATGCTTCTGCTCTTCAAACGAGGGGGTGATGCTCTTTAAGGTCCCTTCTTACTTTAAGTTGTATGCATTTTTTAAAAGTTATTTATTCAAAATCTCTTTTTTTGCTTGTTTTCTACTAAACTGGAAAATCTTTAAGAGGCAAAAATAGAGGTTACAGTTTCTAAATTATTTTTAAAATTTTAAATTTTAAAATAATGTTAGAAGTATTTTCAATTTAAACAATTAAATTTTTATGAAAAAGGTAACTTTTGCAAGTTTTTTAACTTTAAAAGGAAAATAGCAGAAAAGACCAATTAAATGCATTTTAAAACAGCAAGTTAGATGTATGTACCATGTACCTGGTATGCAATTTTTACATACATTGAGAATTGGAATTTACTCAGAATTTCCTGGTAGCAAAGCAAAAGGGGAAATTAGACTGTATTTTTACTGTCTAATTTTATTTCAAAGGAACTGCATATATTTTTTCTAGAGAAATAAGCATTTCCTGGAAATAAGTCCTTCTAGACTGATACATACCCTGAAGTTAATTGAAATGTTTTCAAAGGAACATTGATGTGTGCTAGAGAAACACAATTTAGTAAGAAACAAGCCATCCTGTATAAGCCATTTGTATGTTTATGAGAACAACATAGAGAGAGCATTTACACATCCACCTGTGCTATGTCTTTCTTTTTCTCTGAGATAAGACTATTGCCATGCATTTAATCAATGACTCTAATTTTATTTTTCAGAATGAAAAATCCCCAGGACGATCCGCAAGTCGATCAAGTAATATTTCAAAAGTAGGTGAACTTTATTTTCTTAATTGTTTATTGATTTTCATATTTTATGATTTTGAGCAAATATTTTATAGTTTAACCTCTAATTCTCATCTGTGAACAATACACAAATATGACTCGTTAATGACTTTGACTACAGTATTTCAAGTTTTTGCTGTGATGAAGAGAGATGATTTTACACAACAAAACCCGTTAAGCTGTTTCTTCCTCTTCAGGGCTGTATGCAAAAGAGCATTTGCTACTTTAGAGCGTCAAAGTCTGTTTTTTTCCTTTCTCTTTTGAAGCATCACAGAGCTGCCATGTACTCGCATGAAACTATATCATACAATTCCATGAATTCAATGTTTCAGGAGTTTGGGCTCCACAATGCAAGAATTTAACTCTTCTTGTCACCAGGGCAGGTTTTAGAAATCAAATTAAGACATTAGTTTGGTCATATTCACTTTAGTGTCAACAGATGAGAAAAACAGAATACTCCCTAGACAAGTGGTGTCAAACTCATCAGCCTCGTGGTTGCCTTCAAAGGGCCAAAATAATTTTAGGGCTGTGTAAATGTAACTACTCCTTAACTGTTAAGGAGCTGAAATTATGAGGCTGATGTGGCCCCTGGTGAAAATGGGTTTGACACCCCTGCCCTAGACTGTCTATAAATCCAACCAAGACACCAGAGTGCTGAAAAAATTTTTTCATGGGAGGGATGCTCTAGATTTTCATTTTGCCTTGGAAGCAACAATTAAGAGCTAGCCTGTAAAATGTGGCACTATACGATGTATAGACTTGGTGTTTGGGGAGTGAAAAGTCATTTAGAGCCATATGTCAAATTGGAAGTTTATGACTTCCAAAAATATAATTCAGACAGAGATGGATTTACCATGAATAAAACTTCCATTACAGGTCCCCTCACCTGCCAGCACCTTTCCACAACCTTGAACTTAATTTTGTATATGTAATTTGTATGTTTTCCTTTAAGAAGGTCCCCAAAATACTAATAAACTTTATCTACTACAGAACTTAAATCTACTTCCAATTTAAGTGCATATTAAATTTTTGGGCTTTTTTGGGAAACAAAGGGACTTTATCATTTCTTCAAAAAAGTAGTAGCCAGACTATCAGCATTTCCTTAAGTCAATTTGCCAAGGCCACTTCTTCTGAAACAAGGCCAAGAGGGCCAGGTGACAGACACTTGCAAACACACGGGGTTGATTACAGGAAGACAACCCTGACTATAGGAAACCCTAACATTTTTAACAGACAGTAAGCATAGCTGTCTACTGCTGCATGGGGAGACTACATCTCTACGTTACAATGCTCTACACTATATGAACCTCCTTAAAAAAGATAATCCAGAACAAAAGCAGTCAATGCTTCTTCTCGCAAGACATGCAGAGATACAAGAGACACGTAGAGAATTGTAGCTCAATATACGGTACTGAACATTCTAGTGACATTCAAATCTGGGTACCTTCATAGATTGAGAGGCAATGTGGCTTTGTGATTAAGTGTACTAACTCTGTGGGGAGAGGATCTGAGTACAAGGTGCTTCCTACACAGGAATTTACGTATCTAACCATTAGACATTCACTTAACCTTCCTACCACACAGTTTTCTCCTGTGTGACATGAGAATGCAGTCAGTCACCTGGAAAAGTTTCTAAGTGGCTGTAAATTAAAACAACACTTTTGAATTGTCTATTATCTTAGTCACATCATGACGAGCCTTGCAGAACATTGTCTTCTTTCTGAGCTTAAACGTTAATGTTGACCTAGAAACTTGTAAATGGTCCGGACAACTCCTTGGCCACAGGAAATGTTGTTTCACTATCTGGGGGGAAATTACATCTGCATTTCCAAAGTGCTGTTTGTGTCTGACATAATGTAGCTTGTTTATAACATTTTAGCCTTTTAATTATTTGTTCCATAAGGAGTAAAAAAGTCAGGAGTATAGTTTCCATTCTGTGAGTTCTTCCAGGCTCTGCAATGTATTAACTGTGTCCTTGTGCAGAAGGCAGGCAGTACCTGAAAAAAGTTGCATTGTATTCAGAGAGAAATGAAAAGCTATCTTCTTTCTTATTTATTTATTTATTTATTTATTTAGAGAGAGAGGAAGGGAAGGAATAAGAGAGGGAGAGAAACATCAATGTGTGGTTGCTTCTCACGTGTCCCTCCCTGGGGACCTGGCCCACAACCCAGGCATGTGCCCTGACTGGAAATAGAACCAGCAACCCTTTGGTTTGCAGGCTGGTACTCAATCTACTGAGCCACACCAGTCAGGGCTTCTTTTTTTTAAAAAAGATTTTATTAATTTATTTTTAGAGAGGTGAAGGGATGGAGAAAGAGAGGGAGAGAAACATCAACGTGTGGTTGTCTCTCACATGCCCCTTACTGGGGACCTGGCCTGAAACCCAGACATGGTCTCTAGACTGGGAATCGAACTGGCAACTGGTTCACAGGCTGGCTGGCACGCAGTCCACTGAGCCACACCAGCCAGGACTAAACGATATCTTCCTCAACAGTCACCCTAATTGCACAACAGCAAAAATCAACTCTCCCACACCTCTACAGAGAAAGGAAATTTTAGTGGGCATACTTTTTATTTAAATCAATATAACTTTCCTTTTATTCATGCTCATAATGACAGTTACAAATGCTAAATACATTGTTGAATCCTCACTACTTTTTCATGAATTACTAAGTGATAAATTCTTCTTTAAGACCAAGTATGAAATGACAAAATCTAGCAATATTGTAGGGTTTTTTTCTTTTAAAGTAGTGAAGGAGAAAACATTAAAATAGAACTAGGATGCTTTTCCTCTAATTTTGTCAAAATAATTTTTATATCAAAAAAAGACTGAGTTTTTCAAGGACATGATAAGCATTATAACAGAGTAATTAAGAGTATGGTTTTCAGAGTGATTGTTCAGGAGGGTTAACTTCCTTAGTAACTGTGTCTATAAAAGGAGAATATATAACAGTTTCTAACTCTTGAAGTGGTACTTAGAACACTGGCCTTGTGTAGTATGAGCTTTTCTTATTATAGGGCTTTAAATATTTATATCTCAATAACAGCATCAAATAAGTCCTCACAGGTCCTTTCTGTAACCAAGTGAATTTGAGACATGGATTAAAATATGTACCTTGTTTTCTGACTGGAATGAAAATAAATAAGAGATTTGATAGGATTAAGCAAGATGTTAGTGATATGACAGAATTTTATTGAAAAAAAAGCACTGCATGTTCCTGTTTCCTTAAAAAGTATATGTAAATATCAATAATAATTAATAACATCATCCAGGATGGCCACCTTCCTTATCCTTTATCAAGTTTTTGCCATCCCCTATTCCTTACTATGGACAATCACAGATAATGTGGAGGACTTGTCTTAGAATGGAATAGCAGAAATTCCTTCCATACTGTTGAGTCTGCTTTTCTGCCTTTTTGTTTTTGCTGTCCCCTCCTGAATCAGTAGACCTTCTAATCATCAATATTTGTGGAATGTCTCTCATCAGGAGTTTTATTCTCTACTAGGATTGATGGAGTAATGAAAAAAAATCTTCCAAGTCCTCAGTGATTATACAGTGAAGGCATTGAAATATGACATATACATTACATATCACATATTGTATGTGATATATATATTATTGAACGGTATAACTTTTAATGCAGAGAAGATAACAGAGCAGGCCTGAGACTCATAGTCTTAGAAAGACCTGCTGGCAGGTTGGTCCTTGGCTGGCATCTGGGAATTAGAGTAGTGTCCTAATTGATACAGATAGTTCACTGTGCCTAAATTGTGTAAATTATGTAGTTTGACCTAAAGGACTGCTTTCTTAGAGGAGTCTATAATTTTGATATATACTGGGCAGTAGGTTCCTACCTGACCAGCTCCAAGAAAAACTAGGCGTTGAGTCTCCAGTGAGTTTCCCTGGTAGATACGGCACCTCACATTGTCACAATTCATGGCTGCAGGAATTAAGTGCATCCTGTGCAACTCCACTGGGAGTAAACTTTCAGAAGGTTGAAAATTTTCTCTTGGTTTCCCTTTGCTGATCTTCCTTTGTCACCTTTCTCAGTAATAAGTCATAGCTATGTGTATGATTATAAGTTCTGTCCTAGGAGTTGTCCTAGAAAATCACTGAACCTGGGCAGGGTCATGGCAACCCTTGTTATATTAGTCAAAAAAGTAGAGACAGAAGGTTATGAGAGTTCAGAGAATGATCACTTCCATTTGGAGAAGACAAGATAACATCAGAGAAGGTGTCTTGGAAGAATGGTTCATAAAGAGGCACTTGAAGAATGGATGTGATTTGATCAGCAGTCAGGAAAGTACATTTAAAGGGATATAGGTACAAGGCATAGAAGCTAGGAAACATGGACTATAAGGAGAAAGGTACATAACATAGTTTTTAGGGCCCTTGACAGGGAACTTTGAAAATAGGATGCATTCTCTTTAGTCACATTAGTGTTATCTGGTTTGGAGATACAGAGATGTGTTAAGAGCCTATCAAGATCCTTGAGACTTCTTAAAAGTAAATAGATATGAACCTGAACATTAGTTTTGTTATTCAGGACTGTATAAACATGCTCTTGCTATTGTGAATATGAAATATCCAAGTGTGGGATAAATAACAGATGTCGAATTATTGATGAACATTAAAAATTTTCTCTATAGTCTTTACCTCTGAATTTTTGTGCCATATATTATTCCATTGCAATTATACTGTAAGTTTTATGGCCATTCCAGCTTTTAATTTTTTATTAGTTTATATTTCTAGTTTGTTTTAGCACATGTAAGACAGACAGACCTATGTCTCTTTTTTTTATGCTAATAAGATTTGTGTGCCTTGGATATGTCAAAGTTGACCAAAAAGTTGCAGAGGAGCTATATAGGTTTAAAACAAAACAATGAATGTGTGATTGCCAAAAGAACTTCTGTGTGAACATGGCAGCATTTATTTATCCATCACTTACTCTTTCCTCTTTCAAAAGCTGCTTTTGATATTAGTG